CATTGCAATTGCGAATAAAATCTGCTTTATCAGAGATACCGTCCTAGAAAATGATTTGGATATTTCCTACATCTCTGAAGGGTTCACAATGCAATAAAAGATTCACGAAGGAAACGCAAATTGTTTTCTCAGAAAAGAACTGCATTGTTCCACTGCCCCATCCAGCAAAGTGTTTGGGAAGACGTCTCCAAAAAAGCTTTAATAATCACACGAGTAACTTGCCAAAACTTCTTAACATTCGCGTCCCGTGACGCTGTCAACGCCAATATTGTAGGCTTTGGTTTTTGCTTTTATCCGTTCAGCACTTCACGGAGCAGCAGCTGGCACCAACACGGAGCAGCCACACGGACGCCCACTCCAGATTCCGTAGTAACGGCGGCGGCGGTAAAGCGGCACTGCACGCCCCGCCCCGAGCCACCTGCTGCGGGCAGCGCCGAGCTGCCCCGCCTCCCGCCGCCATAGCGCCCCTCGCGCCGCCCCGCCCAGTGCGTTACCTCAGGGCAGCGGTCTCGCATTGCTTCTTCCTTAGCTTTCCCCGCCGGCTAGGAAACAGCTGCCCCGTGTGCGGTGTTCCGCCTCAGACGGTGCCCTCCCTGAGCAGTGTGGCGGGTGCTGCCCCTGGCCGGAGCTTCCGTCCTCTGCTATGAATTGTTCCCCTCGTCACTCCCTCCCGCTCTTGGAACTGCAAGACGTTTTCTCCTTAAACGAAAGGCAGGCAGGCAGTCAGAGCTGTCAGGTGGGAGAGGCACCTGAGTTCCACAGGCCCGTTCCCGCGTATGTTAAGGGATGTCGGCAAAGTGTGAGACGCTCCCGTACTTCTCTTCAGCTCCTAAAATGGAGCCGAGCAATGTTTGCACGCCTCTAAAAATCCCAAAAACACTTTAAAGGCAAAAATATAGGTTAGCAGTCTACTCGTCTGCAGTTACAGAAAGGGGAGGGGTAACCTTGAAGATTAATGGTGTTAGTGCTATTGAAATCACAGATGATACAACTATTAAAAATGATCAAGTATTAGACTGATGAGAAAACAACACAGAAAGAAAAGGAAGAAAAGACACCGTTTAATTACCATCAGTGCATGCATCCATGGGTAGGGTTGAGCGATTTGTGTTGATTTGAGCACAGCATTGGGATGTGCTCACAGCAGGTGGCACGTACTGTCTGCAGGGACAGCAAAACAGCGTGTTATTCAGACACAGATAGCCTGCTTTATCTAGCCACGTTTGAAAGCCAACAGCTACAGCTCTCATCCTCTTCAAATCACTTTTTTTTTTTTTTTTTTTTAAGTTCTCTTAAAAGCAAAGTCTAAAAGCTCAAGTTCCGTCTTTATTTATTATAGTATTTGCTCAATAACATTTATCTCAGTTCCATTCTATTTTCTAGCAGCAGTTTCCAGGTTTATTTGCCATGCTGTGTGTTTAATTAGGCCATGCCTTGAGAGGACTCAGATATGTAAGGGAAACCCAAGATGAGCAAAGGCATGCTGCACCTAAGGGTCCTTTCAGCAAGAACTGCTCCCCCAGTTCCAGCTGTAAAACTTATGAAAATGTGACATTGCTTGATTTTAATCTCTTCTGGATAACATGATACCATGTTCTGGGTAACAGACTTCTGAAGTGCTTATTGGCATAAGTTTCCTAAGCATAGGCTGTAGATGATTTTGGTTTTTTCCTGTAGTCCCACTGTTTTGGGGTTCAGTCAGGATTCAGAAATGTTGTATGCATGTATACAAGCATTCTCTTTTGTCTATTAAATGTCAGTTGTATTGACATTCTGGCATAGTTTTAGGAAGAATTTTGATAAAGACAGCTAGTTTTACAACTGGAACAAAAAAACCACTCCACATCCTGTGATACTTTTACAAGTAAATTTGTATTCAGCCCACTGACTTTAACAACTTCTAGTTTATATAAGAGCACTGTGTCCTTATGAACTATAAGTATGTAATCTTCCGTAGACATTGCTTCTCACTTTGTCATTTTTTATATTACTACATCGCAGTGTCCCCAGAAAGTCTTAAAAAACAATGTGGAGATTCATATTCATAGTTATAAGGAAGATGGAGGACAGGATCAGAGAGAACAGAAAGGGAGAACGATGAAGGAGGCTACAGTCTCACCTGAAAATTCAAGACTGAGGGAGTTAAGAGAAGCTCTGCAGTACTTCCAGCTCTTTTGCCTTTCACCATTCACGGTGGCCACTCAGTCCAAAAGACAATTTAACATGCTGGCATTTTGGGGTCAGTACACCTGAAAGTCAAACCTGTTCTGTTTTAAAAGAGCCAGCGATATTGTGCTCTGAAGCCTCAGTGATAAACCAGCATTTTTGTGCTTGGAATGCTATTTGACACTGCCTTGCAGTACAGTTGGAATGTATTATAAATAATTTGATAAATATCTCTGAATATTTTTACAGCTGAAGATAGGAGTCACAAAGGCTTGCTAAATATTTTCCTGAGTTGACTCAAGGTCAGACCCATCCCCTCGACTTATGATACCTAATATTCTTTGTTTCACATTAATTTTAAACTGAAAAGAAATATTTATAAAGAAAAGCCCTCAAATCTTTTTTTTTTTCATAAATGTTATTACTTTTTCCCAGTACGTCTTGCCCCTTTTACATTCTCAGACAACAATAACTTATTCAAAAACAACAGTAATCATAACAGTAATAAATTACGTAAGCTCTAGATTTACTCACAAGGAGTTGTAAATTCACTAAGGGTGAAGAATATTAATATTTTCCAACCAAATAAGATCCAAACATAGTCACACAAAACACAATCAAAAGGAGCTTTAGTATAATTTTCCAAATCTACAACAATAAGCAACAGTGTATTTTTTCATTACATTTTTAATTATATTTTCTTATTATAATTCAAGCTGTGTATGACAGAGACAAGCAAATAATGTTGCTAGAAAATTGGGGAAAAAAAGCTCAGTAGCAAAAGCCATACTGAGAAGAGAAGGGTAAAATGCGTTGAAATGGAAACTTTGAAATACACAGGAGTTTCTTTCAAGAAGCAACAAGGAAAGGTGTGTACTGTTGCTGCAAGTGAGTAACTTGGTGACAGGCAGAACACATTTTAAATTAAATAACTGTAGAAGCTCACCACTTGATTCATCCTCAGGTTAATCTCCCATATTATACTAAATCCATATGCTTATCCAAGTGTACCAAACAATATATTCATTCCGTGGCTTATTTTGGGCTTTAATTGCTACCTCTGTGAATACCACTGAAAGGGATGTAATCAGGATAAGCAGTCCAGCTGGTTGGTTTTGGCTAGGGGAAGCACTGAGTCCGATTTTTCAGCTGTTTAGTAAGTTTTGATAGAGTGAATCCTACAATACATATGCCAGACCCTCATGGTCAAAAAGAAAACCAGCAAAATTCACAATGATAATTATTGAGCTTATTGAGCTTAACAGACTCATGTCTTAATTTACTACAGAAAACCTGCATGCCCTTGTTGATTGAGATAAAATTCCATCTACATGCACAATTGAGCTTCTAGTTACTCCCTGATAGTTGCTTGCTCTTTTCTAATGCAGAGCTGGCTGGATCTTACTAGTTTGTCATCTCTGAAAGCAAAATAGTTTGTAAAATGCTTTGAAGAAGGAAGATACTATCAAAAATTCAAAGTATGTTTTCAAAAGCCAGTGTCAGTTCACTTTGAGTTTAACTATGATTGAATATAGAGATGAATTTTCTAAGTAAACCTTGAATTTTTACTTCCAGCACTGTATATGCATAAGACCTGCATAGTGACATGATCTTTAAAATAACTCAGGATGTAAGTGCAACAGCACATTAGAGTTTACTTGTAAAATTACCAAGTGATGAGTGACAGATACCAACAAAGTTCTCCCTACAGTCGACTTTTACTTTATAGAGCATAACTTCATGTAAGTTCTGCATTACCTTGCACGAGGCTGTCTCACACTGTCTGACTCCCAGTCAGTTCTTCCATAGACAGAATTTACTGATGTTTCTCAGTAACACCATGTCATAATGAAGTGCTTTGCTATAATGTATCCTGTCATTCTAATGAGGATTGCAGATCCAGGACGAGGGTTCAGGGATGTTTGGGTTATCACTCATTCTTTTCTTTGAAAACCTGGGCTTTCATGCAGGAGCCCATAGACACTGTAACAGTAAAGCAAGACATGCAGGCAGGATTATAACAGCAATGTCTTCAGGCCTCAGCTTTAACCATTTGAGAAATAGGTAATCAACAAAGGCTTGAAAAGGTATAATGTGAAGGTCCTACTTTCTACAGAAAAATCAAAAAGCTTCTAGGCAACTTTTGAGTTTTAAAATTTCACTTGAATGTACCACAGAAGGAAATTTCTGTAAGAAATATTCAGTCTTTTTTTTTTTTTTTTTTTTTTTTTGCTGGCTTCAAGTCTCCAATGAGGCACAAAAGGCTCCATAGTCTAAACGTAATGCAACTTTCTGTGGCAATGAGGCACAGACTCAGATGCAAACGATCCAAATCATTTATTACAGGTTCTCACTTATATACATTCACAAGTTTCCTTTTTTAGCTTTCCCATCCTCCCTTACCACTTTCCCATCTGCCTTCACATGTCAACAAAGTATTCCACAAACACCCCTTAACTGTGCATATAAGTGCTCATCCAATCAGAGCCGTAGGCTGTTCCTTTTGCTTCTCTCTTCTTTTAGAGATGTCCTTGGTTCTCAGCCTTGCTTTCTCATGCTGTTTATCTTGTTTCAGAGCTGCTGCCCTGAATAGTCTTTCTTGTATTCCCACACCTTTCTTTCTCTAAATCTACTAGATATATTCTGGAAGTTATGAACTCCAATATTCAGTCATATTGCAACATGACTCACTCCAGAATTCCCTATTCCCATTTTTAATAAGAAACAATATGATTAGAACTAGATTTCCTCTGTTAATGCAGTCGTGATTAGTTCATTTGTGGTTAGATTTTAAAGGCTAGCTTTCTGATATGAGTCAGTCTTCACCTGCTACTTCCCTTGTGATGAGTCTTGGAAGTAGAAAAGAAAAACATAATAAAAGAATATCAAAGCCAATTTACCTGTGCAGTATGTTCCAGGCTGAAAATCTTCCTTGTGAGACAATCCAGGAAGGTTCACCTGGGTGATTATATTCTGTTGTTTTGTTTCTTCTTCTTTTTTTTTCTTTTCTTTTTTTTTTTTTTTTCCATTGTAAGTGTGTGTGAAGATAAGAGAGTTAAAAGGTTTGAGTAACAGGAATTTTCTAGGAATTTTTCTTCAAGCTTGTTCAGACTCATTGCTCATTTTCATTCAGCATCTTCTCATCTGCTAGTTAGAGCAAATACTTGCACTGCACTCCACAAAATGCTTGAGCAAGAAGAAATCCTGTACAATGAGACCCTATTAGTAATACGCTCAAGTTTAAGACTTGATTTGGTGTCTTGAAGTGAACCAGCATTGTGACTAAAGCTTTTCTTGAGTCTCAGCACAAAAATCCACTGCCTTCTGTATTTCATTCTTCAACTTCTCAGCAAACTAAAAAGCTGAGAAATTAAAAAATTATCTACAACAAAAGACCTGCAGAAATAAAAATGTTCACTATCTGCATAAGTGTTCATACACCACAGATATTCATCTGATTATAGTGAATAGTTCTAAATACAGGCATCCAAGAACTATTTCCTGGAAAGGCACTGGAGTATGTTGTAGTAATACACAGCTGTTAACAATCAGAGAAAAATCAAATTCAGTCTGCAGCCATCCTTTGTGGCTATGTTCTTACATAGCACAGATTACAGAAATTAGTATTTGGGCAAATAATTCTATCCAATAATATAATAATATAAAATTACTATACCTAGAATTTGTTGCCCAGAGGTACTCCTGTAAGTTCTAGAATATGTCACCAGTTCTCAAATATAATTAAAGAAAGGAAAGAACAAGAAACTATGTTGATGACACAGATTTAACTGCCCTGTATTAATGCTTGTGACTTGGTCAAATAATTTCCTCCAGCAATTTTAATTGGATACCTCCTGTCCATGTGTTTGAACTGTTCCACGATTTTACACAGGAACACAGTATAGATTTAGAAAGAATCTGTTGGATTTATAAGTTCAAGTCAGTATTTTAGCTGTATTATTAAATAGCCAGAATCTGAGTTGCATTGGTAGGGATAGAAGTCAGCACCTAAATTTTGAGACACTTGTGACAGATGGTGATTTCTTCTTGTAGGTTTCACAGATAACCAGGGGACTGCAGAGGAATGGTAAGACTCAGGAAACCTGGGCTCTTGTTCAGGACATATAAAGAAGTATTTTATATTCTGAATTGCTGATTTCATCCATGCAACATCACCTCTGTTCTGCTCCTGCTAGCCTCTTGTTGTCTTGCCTGTGTGCCATGTTGATCTTTTGTCTCTAGTTCCTTCCACATTCTTCACTCTCCCTAGTTAATTCCCAATTTCTTTACCCAGACAGGCATTCCCTAATTTTTACCCATTTCTCTAATTTTTAGGGATAGCCATTGATAGTATATTCAATACAGTTGTTTTTTTTTTACCAGGTCACATTTAATTTCCTCTTTCTTTATCCCTCAGTACTTAAACTGTTCTTTTCTCTCAGCACAATGAGGTTCCATTCTTTGTCCCTTTTCTGGCTTCCTGTGCCCTAAAAACCCCTTTTCCTTGAGCATCTTGGCCCCCTGTCGGATTTGTCATTGCCAAACCAGGCTTACCACTGACCATGGAGTCACAGAGTCCCTCTTGTTTTATATACAAACAACTCCATCTGTCTATTACCCCTTTTTCTCTTCTGCCCTCACACTAGTTCATGTTTTTTTCCCATCTAAGTGGCCTTGCCAAATACATTTCAGTTGCCCTTTCTTCCTGTTGTTTAATTCTAATCTGTTTGCTCAGTAAATCCTGTTCAGAGCCACTTCCTGCTCTTTCCTTTGGCATTGCCTACAACTCCACCATATTGCTCTCCTCTCTTCATTCCTCTCCCATTATCTCTTCTCCTTCTGAGACATTTAAACCAAATGTTTCCCTACCTCCTTTGCAGTCACTTAGCTATGGAGGGAAACAAGACCACTGCCTGAAAATCCCATCAAGTGAAACCTTCAGTTGCCCTCGGCCAGCCATTACAGGCAGGGCATCCTCCAGGTTGTAACACTGAGACAAGGCATGTTCAATTGTTCTGGAGATGATGTTCCCCCCACAGGGAATCAGTGCCGGATTTAGTGATTAGCATCCCTGCTCATGGCAGTAGTGTTAAAAATTACATAAGTCACTCTGAAAGTAATGCTTCCTATTTATTTCCTATTTATTATGCGGATAACAATAACACCATTTCATAGAGCAAATTCTCAACTACAAAACATTATTCTTCAATGTAATCACCACCATTAGCTATGCATTTTTACTAGTGATGAACAAGAGCCTGCGTGCTGAACTTGTCAAAACCTGCATCAGTGGAGGTGACGCACTGTTGC